AATAAAAATTTTGAAGTACAAGTAGTGATTTGTTTTGCTCCTTAATAGTTCAAATTTCATCTTTTTAAAGATGTAGTGCATGATCTATCAAGTAGGCAGTGTGGTTAATAAAGTCTATAATCAGCCAGGCGGTGGTGGCATATGCCTTTAATCACAGCACTCAGGAGGCAGAGGCAGGTGGATTTATGTGAGTTCAAGGCCAGCCTGGTCTACAGAGTGAGTTCCAGGACAGCCAAGGCTACACTGAGAAACCCTGTCTCAAAATAATAATAATAATAATAATAATAATAATAATAATAATAATAATAAAAGAAAGGAAGAAAGTCTATAACCAATCCCCAGTTATAGGTTAGGGGTTTGGGCAACCTTGTGGCTACAGCTGTTTCTTTATGCATGCTGGTTATGTTCAAGTCACACAACAAAGTATGTAAAGGTCACAGACTTTAAAGACACAGACTGAGCTCAACTCTGGCTAATTATTTTCTATTTGAACCTAAATCTTGAATTCTAGTCCAACACAGGCATATTAAAATCTCTGCAGGGAATGGAGAGATGGTTTGGTGATTAAAGGTGTTTATTGCTTTATCAGAAGACCAGAGTTCAGATCCCAGCACCAACGCTGGGTGGCTCTCGAAAGGCTGTGACTCCAGTGCCAAGAAATGTGATGTCCCCTTCCAGCAGCTGTGGGCACTTGCAACACACACACACACACACACACACACACACACACACACACACACACACACAAATACAGATCTTTAAAAAAATCTCCTATGTAAGGTACTTGCTAGAAAACCAAGTGTAATATATTAAGAATATAATTTAAATACCAAGTTTCATTTTATTATTTCTTTTAGACAATTTTATTTAAATTCTACTAGGTTCCAAAGCTGCTTCACAGCGGAGCATATACAATTATTTTAAGGTTCTCCTTTTGTTTGCTTTTCTTTTAGGACTCCCAAATACCTGAAGAATCACCCCAAGTCCTTAGAAAGGAGGACAAAGCCGCAACAATCATTCAGAAGGCCTGGAAAAATTTCCTTGTGAGTTGGTTTAACTGATCCCTTGAGAGATAACTTACATCACACAAAATTCATGTATGTAAAGTGTGTGTGAACAATTAGTTCTTTTGTGTATTTTTACAGGTTTGTACCACCTTTCAACTTAGAAGTTCATTATTCAGTTTCAAAAGTTAAAATTATCTGTGCGGTGGTGGTGCACACCTTTGATTCCAGCACCTGGAAGGCAGAGGCAGGTGGATCGCTGTGAGTTGGAAGCCAGCCTAGTCTACAAAGCAAGTTCGAGGACAGCTAGGACCGTTATACAGAGAAACCTTGTCTCAAACAACCAAAATGGAAAAAAAAAAGTTAAAATTACTTCATTAGGTTTACAAACATTGACGTTCTTGTTAGTTAAAACAATTTTTTTGTGTGCATGTATGTAGATATGTGTGTGGTAGGTGTGGACATATTTGTGCATGCATGCATGCATGCATGCATGCGCATGGAGGCCACAAATCAACCTCAGACGTTGCTCCTTAGCATGCTGTCTACTTTTTCTAGTAGTTTTGCGACAGGAACCCTCACCAGCCTGTAACTTGCCGAGTAGGCTGCAGTGGTTATCCAGCAAACCTCAGTGATCCACCAGCTCTGGCTCCCCTGTGCCGGGATTCTGAGGGTCCCACCACATTCAGCTTTTTTACATGGATACTGGACATCAAACCCAGGTCCTCAGGTTTCCACAGTAAGCACTTTGTTACTGAGCCACCCTCTGGCCCCCACTAAGTTTCTGAATGGGGTCAGACTCTGATAATAGCTAATTCCCATAAGGGATGGCTATGGGCACAGCAGCCTCCTCATGGCCTCTTTAACTCTAAGGGATGGCTGTGGGCACAGTGCATACCAAGGACAGACTGCTAGATACTGCTAAGAGACTCACGGTCTTTGGGGGCCAACAAGCGTGGGGACTGTAATGGTTCCGGGAGCTGTGACATAGGGATGGTGCTCAGGGTGTGGCTATGCCAGTGGGAACAGCAGCCTCTGTCTGATGGCTCCCCCGCCCCACCCTCGCACACATTGCTTATGCTCTGATTGTGGCAGAGCCCACTGCAGTGGGAGTTCCAGCCGTGCGGAGGAGCCTGAGGCACCGTGATGGGCCCTCCACTTCCTCAGTGTCAGTGCACGCAGGGTGGGGTAGCTGGAGCCAAGGCAATCACGTGAGTGGACCAGCAGCAGGGACCGCAGTGTTTCCTTACAGTCCCGGTGAACTCCGTGGGTCTCTGCTTCCGTTTTGACACTAGTGCAGGGCCACGAGCAGCTGCCACAGTCTGGGCCTCAGGATGCAAGTGCAGAGAACTGCTGGTTCTTAAGGTCTGCGCTCCCTGCGTCTGTTCGTGTCGAAAGTCCATCCTTCCCAGTGCAGAGCATCCAATAGCATAGGCACCGTGACTTGGCAAGGGCAGGTTGGGTTTGCAACAAGCCAATGTCCGTGGGTGTCTATGGAACCCTGGAGGGGAGGGGTGTGCAGGGATCTCTGACTCCGAGAACACTCCACATCTACACAACAGTACGTGTCTTGAGGTGCCTCTAGCTTATCGCAGCCTGTGTGTTCACCTGGAGACTCTGAAGTCCTTGTTCAGAGTTTAGCTGCTATACAGAGTTATGGTTACTTACCAGACTGACCCGCCAACCTGGGAGAGCTACGAAGCTTTTTACTAAGACTGCGGCCAAGCTGACAGGAGTCTACAGGGACTCTCTGCTTCACACTCTCTGGCAGTGTGTTTGGGGAGAGGGGGGAGGGAAGGGGAGGAGTTGCCTTCTAGAGATGTAGAGCTGGGGTGGGAATTGCAGGAACTGCAGAAATATGTTTCTTTCTATGCTATCATCGCAAACATCTTAATCCTTCCTTCCCTCCCTCACTCCTCATTCCTTCCCTCCCACTTCCTCCCCCCTCATCCCCCACTTCCTCCCTCCCTATTTCCCTCTCTCTGTCCCTCCACTTTCCTCCCTCCCATTCCCTCTCTCCCTCCCTCCCCCTCCCACTCCTCCTTCTTCCATTTCCCTCCCTCCTTTCCTCCCTCCTTCCCTCCCTCTCTCTCTCCCTCCCTCCTTCCCTCCCTCCTTCCCTCCCTCCTGCTTTGTCCTCATTTAGTCCTCTGTCATCTCCTGAAGTCACTCACCTTGTAAAGCAGCTCTGTCTGTGAACTTGGTTCTTTTCGCAGTAAGAAGTGGGTGCTGGTCTATATCTAACACCCCTCCATCCTTGTGTTCTCCCACCCCCTCTTTTACAGTGTCCTCGAGGTTTGATGTCAGGATAGCACCAGCCTCATAAAAGGAGCTAGGGAAGCCAGTGTACTTTCCCTCAAAGGGTTTCAGTTTGAAGCCTGGTTTCTCTGCTCCTGCAGGACCACTCAGCTCTGTGTCTCTGTGCACATATACAGACAGCTAATGAGAAACAGAGAGTTCCAGGCCAGTGAGAGAGCTCAGTGGGTAAAGGCAAGTGCCAGCAGGCCTTTGATGTAAGCGCTGTCCCTGGGAAGCGCATGGTGGAAAGGAGGACCCAATTCCCAGAAGTGTCCTCTCATCTCCAAAGGTGTACTCTAGCACCCCCCCGGCCAAATAAATAAATGTAAAAAACTTTTCAAACCCTTAAAAAAGTAGAGAATCTAGTTTTAACCATAAAATTCTGTGTTTCAACCTTTAGAATGTGGCTGTATTCCAACACTTTAAAAGTCTGATTGATTTAAGAAGACAAGGGGAGCCACGCCAGATAGTGAGGTTCCTTAATCCTAAAGAGGTAAGGCTGTTCTTACCACACAGCATCTTATCAGTTCAATGCTCTCGTGTTTGCTTCCTTAAAAGCTTCTTGTTGAACTATTACATGCTTCCTGTAATAATAACACCACAGAAAGCAAAAGCATATAGTTAAATGAATTACCACAAAGCAAATACCACCAAACTATGCTCAAGCTCACTGTGCCTGCCAGTCACTTAGGACCCCTTCCCAACACCATGCTTTAGTTGCTCCTTCTGGAAGCAGGCCTTGAGGTGCTGTCCTGATTGGTTTCTGTTTTTGTCAACTTGACAAAAGCGCGGGTCATTTGGGAAGAGGTGTGTCTGCAGGGCATTATCGTGATAATGATGAATGTGATAATGATGGATGTGGGATGGCCAAGCCTACTTGGGCAGTGCCACTTCTGAGCAGGTGGTGCTGGGTTCTAAACCAGCTGAGCAAAGCCAGTAAGCAGCACCCTCCATGGCCTCTGCATCAGCTCCTGCCTCCAGGTGCTCCATAAGAGGAGGAGAAACCTCAAGCTCGCATCCTTGCTCTCTTGTGGCAAGATGCCCTCACAGCAGGAGGCCCCTCTGCCGAGGCCTGCCACCACAGCCACCAGGACTGTAAGGAAAACCTTCCCAGTCACCAGTATTTTGTTACAGAAACAGAAAGTGAACCAACATGCCCCAGAACCTCTTCTAGTCCATTCCTGAGTGTACAACCAAGAGAAATAAATTCAGGAATCCACCAGAAGACATGAAGGGTAATGTTCACAGCAGCTCTGTAACTCAAACTATAGAGGCTACAGTTACAGACAGAGCAAATGTGGAACTGTAAGAGTTGATAAAATGCTAGTAGCAATGCAAAATAACCCATGTATCTATCTACATGGATGGATTTTTTTTATCTCCCCCCATCCTCCAGAGCTGAGGACCGAACCCAGGGCCTTGCACTTGCTAGGCAAGCACTCTACCACTGAACTAAATCCCCAACCCCATGGATGGATCTTATACAGCCATCAAAGATTAAAGCTGAACAAAAATCCAGGCACCAAAATAGTATATAAATGTATCATTCCTTTTGTACGAAATTCAAAAGCTGCCAACATTAATCCATGAAGATAAAAGAGATTTTTAAGGATAGCCAACTGGGAGAAGTCACAGGACCACAATGCTGGAAGTGTTTATGATTTTTATATGACTTAGAGATGCCATGAAATATACAAACATGTAAAAATTCATAGAGCTACACACTTAAAATTTGTCCAAATTCTAGTGAAAGTGTATGTATGTGTGATGTCACCATCCAAACATGAAAAATTTTATGCAGAATTGTATACTTTGTATTTCATTTACAAAGGTTTTAGCCAGGAGAAAATTATTCTGAAAAATTAATAGATTTTCAAACCAAAATACCTATTTTATCATCTAACCTAATATAATCAAAGAGATAGATGTGAGCTGTCTTCAGATAAGGGATCAAGTCCCCCCACCACCACCCATTTTCTTTTTGGTGCAGGGCACTACATTTACAAGACTTACTACACACGTAATTTGAGTCTTTTTTTGACTCAACAAAAGCTAGTTAGGAAAGGTCCATCTCGTGTTGAGCTTGCGTGGACCAGTTATTTATTTTTTTTTCTGAATTTATTTACAAGGTATAACATTCTATATGTAAGTCATATATTTGAGGACTTATTATTTCTGTTTTACAAATAATAAGTCACTTAGGATTTGTATTTTTTTTTATTGTTTTGAGACAAGATCTCTCTATCTATACAGTCCTGGCTGTCCTGGAGCTCGCTCTGTAGACCAGGCTGGTCTTGAACTCCCAGTGCTCCACCTGCCTCCGCCTCCCGAGTGCTGGGATGAGGGTGCACCACCACACTCATCTGAAGATTTGCATTTATATTGCACAGAAAGGAGAGCTTGGCAGTATTTTTCTAGTTAACCTGTGGGGGGCCAGCTCCCACCTTTTCCAGGGTTCCTATGAAGAGGAGAGAGAAATAAGAAATATTAAGTAGAATGATAGGCCTTGCTGAGAAGAAGAAAAACAGAAACACAGGATAGCTTCGGGAGGACCTGGGTCAACACCCAATGGCCCAGAACTTAATTCAAAAAAGGCTTTGCCAGGCGTTGGTGGTGCACGTCTTTAATCCCAGCATTTGGGAGGCAGAGGCAAGTGGATCTTTGTGAGTTCGAGGCCAGCCTGGTCTACAGAGCAAGATCCAGGAAAGGTGCGAAGATACACAGAGAAACCCTGTCTCAAAAACAAAAACAAAAACAAAACAAAAAAGGCTTTTTATAACTGCCAAGGAGAGGTGCAAAAGACTTCCCCTTGCTAGATACAACCAAATGTAGACCCCTCCAAACACCTGGTACCCAGACCCGTGGTCCAATCATCTTCTCATGCAGCCCTGCTGAGTAAAGCAAGTTCAGATCTCCCTAGCATACTTCTGTAGGCTCCCACATTATCCTAAGAGCTGTCCATAAGTCCTTAGCTTTCAAAGTATTTTTATGATTCCAGGGCTGGAGAAATAGCTCAGCAGTTAAGATCTCACACTGCTCTGCCCGAGGACCCAAGTTCAGTTCCCAGCACCCACATTAGGTGGCTCACAACCACCTGTAACTCCAGCTTCAGTGGGATTCAATGTCTCTGGCTTCCACAGGTGCCTGTACTTACATGTACCCACCACATAATCATAATTAAAAATAAAAATATTTTGTGATTTAAATAGAATTATTTGAAGCCTATTCACCTGACCTGTTTTGTAAGTAGTAAATACCAGCGACAGAATGAGAAGTAACAAGGTGATGCTCACGGAATGTTGATGGCACATCTGTTTTCTCACAGGCGGAGCTCCTGGATGGTGCTGCTGGCATTCAAGTCCGATTCAGGCTGGGTGGGGTGAGTATGTATGAGTCCTTGTTTGGTAGGTTTGTTTATCGCTTTTATTGAAAATGGATTTTCTTCTCACATAATAGATCCCGATAATAATTCCCCTCCCTCGACTCTTCCCAGTTCCTCCTCACCTCTCTTCTCATCCAGATCCACTCCCTCTCTGTCTCATTAGAAAGCAAACAGACTTCTAAGGGATAATGGCATGAATGATAGGATATGTTATGCTAAAACAAAAACTAACACACCAGAACTGGACAAAACAAACGGAAGAGAAAGAGCCCAAGAGAAGGCACAAGAGTCAGAGACCCACTTGTTAGCACACACAGGAATCCCATAAAAACCCTAAGCTAGAAGCCATAGTGTATACACAGAAGACCTGGTACAGACCCATTCAGGCCCTGCACAGGCTGCCCCAGGCCCTGTGAGTTCATATGAGCTTGACTCATGTTGATTTAGAGGGCCTGATTTCTTGGTGTCTTCCATTTCCTCTGGCTCTTATACTCCACTTCCTCTTCCACAGAGTTCCCTGAGCCATAAGGGGAGGGATTTGATGGAAACATCTCATTTAGGGCTGAGTGTTTCAAGGTCTCTCATTCTCTGCACATTGTCCAGCTGTGGATCTCTGTATTTGTTCACATCTGCTGCAGGAGGAAGCATCTCTGAGGATGGTAGAACAAGGCACTGATCTATGAGGACAGCAGAATGTCATTAGAAGCCATTTTATTGTTACTTTTTTTGGGCGGGGCGGTATTGGGTTTTACCCTTGGTCCCTGGACTATCTAGTCTCAAGTTCTTGGTCACCCAAGTAGTGTCATATGGGTTCCATCTCATGGAGTGCACCCTAAGTCAAATCAGACATTGGTTGGTTACTCCCACAAGCTTTGTGCCACCATTGCCCTAGCCTATCTTGCAGGTGGGACAGCATTGTAGATCAAAGGGTTGGTGGCTGCGGTAGTGTTTATGTTTCTCTTTTGGTAGTGTGCAGAGAAGCTTCCTGTACCATAGATGCTCAACTTGGGGGTGAAGGCTCTGTGTAGGCACCAGCTTGACTTCTTTATGTTCAGTGAGTTGTATAGGTGTTGTCTTCAGCAATGGGGACTTTCCTGTCAGTTTGTGAGGAACAACCTATAGTCTTGGCAACAGCCTGAGTTATCTGGGGATTCCATGGGACTCCTTTAGCCAACAACTTAGTTAGATTCAGCCCAATTCTGGTACTAGATGTTTCACTGGGTGACAAGAAATGGCTAGATGGGACTCTGTCTTCCCCATTATTTGGTGATTTCACTTAGATGGCCTTCATATATGTATATATTTTAGCCTCTACTAGTATTAAGTTCCCATACTACCCTTCAATTTTAGCTGTTTCTCCCCATATTCCTTCCCTCATTCCCCTTTTTCTCTCCCTCCCCACTTGATCCTCACATTCCAGCCTCCCCCATCCATATCTCTCGATTCTATTTGCTTTTCCTAGCATGATCTATCACCCCTTGTCTCTTACTCTATACCTAACCTCTGTGGTTCTAAGATTGTAGCTTGGTCATTGATGACTTAACACCTAATAGCCACATATAAATGAATATACATCATATTTCTGGGTCTGGGATACATCACTCAGGATAATTTTTTCCTGGTTCCATCCATTTACCCATTAATTTAATGATTTTATTATCTTTGTAATGGCTGGATAATAATCCATGGTGTAAATGTTCCGTATTTTCTTTTATCCATTCTTCTGTTGAGTTCTTTCTTTATTTTGGATATTAAACCTCTATTGAATGTGTAGTTGGTAAAAATCTTTTACTGTTCTATAGGCTGCCGCTTCGTCTGTCCTATTGATGGTGTCCTTGGCTTTTCAGTTTCATGAAGTCCCATTTATTAATTGTTGATCTTAGTGCCTGAACCATTGGTCTTCTGTTCAGAAAATATTTTCCTGTGTCAATGTGTTTTATATATATATATATATATATATATATATATATATTAATTATTTATTTTTATTTTATGTGCATAGGTGTTTTGCCTGAATGTATGTCTATGTCTGATCTTGGAATTACAGACAGTTGTGAGCTGCCATGTAGGTGCTGGGAACTGAAGTCAGGTCCTCTGAAAGAGCAGCCAGTGCTCTTAACTGCTGAGCCATCTCTCCAGCCCCTGCCAAGTAGTTTAAGAATATTCCCCACTTTCTCTTCTAATCAGGTTCAGTGTGTCTGGTTTTATGTTGAGGTCTTTGATCCATTTGGGTTGAGTTTTGTGCAGGATGATAATCATGTATAATAATGTATGAATCAATTTGCATTCTTCTACATGTAGACATCCAGTTTGACCAGTACTATTTGTTGAAGATGCTGTCTTTGTTTAAAAAAAAATCAAGTGTCCATAAGTGTATGAATTTATGTTTGGGTCTTCAGTTTGATTTCATTGATCAACATGTCTGTTTTTGTGCCAATACCATGCTGTTTTAATTACCATGGTTCTGTAAAACAATTAAAATCAGGGATAGTGATGCCTCTTGCAGTTCGTCCATATAAAGCTGAAATTTGTCCTTTCAA